TCATTGTAGAGAGGCTGCTACTGTTAAGTACAAAGCATGGTGAAGGTATAAGAGACATCCTACTACCTATAACAGGAGCTTGCACAGGCAAGCCTGTAAGCATATGGGCGACGTTCAAAAGTGGGCCATTGCTAAATGGGAGGTGGACACAAAAAGAAAGCTAGCATCAGGTAGGGTAGGCTCCAAAACCTGGTGGTCCCTGGTCAAGGACAGACAAGGTTATCTGCCTGATGACCTCATTCCACCTCTAAATCGAGAGGATGGGACCACCTCTACTAGTAGTCAAGAGAAGGCAGACCTCTTTGCTGAACACTTTGCTATCAAAATGCAAGTTCCTGATCCAGCAAGGGACCCTCCTTGGCTAGGTGCAAGAACTGTGTCAAAACTGTCAGTTGTGACAATAAGGCAGGAGGAGGTGCATTTCCTTCTTAAATCACTTGACCAAGAAAAGGCTGTGGGCCCAGACAAGTTGAGCCCAAGATTGCTGAGAAGGTGTGCAGACCAGCTAGCAGCACCTCTAACTCGCATCTTTCACCACTGCCTAGTACAGTGTAAATGGCCCTCTCTGTGGAAAGAGGCAAATGTAGTCCCTGTTCACAAAAAGAGAAGGAGAGCAGAAATCAACAACTACAGACCAGTGTCACTCCTGTCAATCACTGGTAAGATCCTTGAGACAATAATCTCATGATAAATGACAGTTTTTTTTAACTACCACTCATTACTTTGTGATCGTCAATATGACTTCAGGAAAGGTTACTCTGCTGCTGATCTGTTGTTAAACTTCTCCACTAAGTGGCACCAGTCACTGGATGAATCCAAAGTCAGCTGTGTGGTAGCACTGGACATTGCTGGTGCATTCAACTGGGTGTGGCACCAGGGCCTCTTAGCAAAACTTCAAGCACTGGGAATTGCAGGCTCTACGCTATGTCTCCTCAGTGATTACCTTCATGGTAGATCTCTAAGGGTAGTTCTCAATGGAATGGAATCAGCAAGACATCCTATTGGGGCAAGTGTTCCACAAGGAAGCGTGCTGGGACCATTGTTATGGAATGTCTACTTCAATGACCTTCTTCATCTCATCCCAGAATCCCATGCATATGCAGATGACTGTACACTGACATTCACTTACCCAAGAGAAGAAATGCCAGCTGCTCTAAGCTACATCAATCACCAGCTAAGAGCTATATCAGCTTGGGGAAATAGATGGCAAGTAACATTTGCACCTGAGAAAACAAATGATGATGGTCTCTAGGCACCATGATGGTAATGCTGGTGCAGTAGTAAGGATGAATGGGAGGGTGTTAGCATCTGTGGAAAAAGTTGATATCCTTGGGGTGAAATTTGACTCCAAACTGACCATGAAGAACCATGTTGTAAATCTTGCAAACAAGGCAGCCAGGAAGCCTACAGCACTCCGCTGTATCTCGCATCTGCTTGACAGTAGGGCTTGCAAGATTTTGTATGAGGCACAAGTATGCTCACACCTTGAGTATGCTCCACTTTCTTGGTTCACCTGTCCCCCTTCTCATCTGTCGCCGACTGCTTGACAGAGTAGGGAACAGAGCAAGACATCTCATCTCTCACCTGGACCAATCTTGGATAGATCTGTCATTTCAGCAGAGCCTTCAACACAAAAGGGATATGGGTGGCCTTACTTTTATGTACAAGGCCAATAATGTCAAAGTACCACACTTGGATCCACTTTGAGGACAGCGTGAAACAAGCTTTTATGCCACAAGATGGGCAGAAAGCAGCAACTTCACTCTGGCTGTACCCTTCTCCAGAACATCACTTTATGTGAGATCATTTGTCCCCAGGATGACTCGAGTATGGAACACATTCGTACAGCATTATGATGTCAACGAGATAAAGTCAGTTGATCAAATGAAAATGCTGGCCCACAGATGGCTCCAACTTCATCCTTTTCCCTACTTGTATGTCTCATAACAATAAAAATGCTTGTATGTCTCATAACAATAAAAATGCTTTCAAATGAGCTGATGTAGGTAACAGCTCTTAGTTTGTCAATAAAGCTAGGAATCCTTAACCTTGTCAAACCCTGTGTAAAAAAAAAAAAAAAAAAAAAAAAAAAAAGAAAAAAAAAAAAAAGAGCAATACACAAATAACTCATACGTACATTGGAGAATGAAACTTATGATGCTTCAGAGTGAAACATCATTATGAGTTTCATTCTGCTATGTGTATGTCATTTACCTATTGTTCCAGTCACAGTATTGCGACTTTTTATTCTTTCATGAAGAAAGTACAGTGGACCCTCGACCAACTAGCGATACATTTTAACGCTAACATTTTGCCTCGGCTAACGCTAAAAAAACTCTACTAACGATATTCGTTCTCGGGTACCAATTAATATCGTTAGTCGAGGGTCCATTGTATATCATCTTGCTGTTATGTTCCCTTCACCTCTCCTCTTCATCAGTAATATTTTTTAACTTTTAACTTGTGGAATTTATCTGCAGAAAAATAACATCTTACATGAAGGAAAAAATGGTACTTTTATGTACAAAACAATTCACTGCCATTTTGAGACAGAATTTTCTTTGCTATTTAACCCTTTGACTGTTTCAGGCCCCTCTCTGAAACTGTCATTCTATGTCGCTCAATTTTTGAAAAAAAAAAAAATTATTTTTTCTTATGAAATGATAGAGAATCTTTTCCCGATGGTAATGACACCAAAAGTTCGAAATTTGGTCGAAAACTCGTGGAATTATGCTCCCGCGAAGTTAGCGGTCTCGGCGACATATAGCGTATCGGCGATTTCGCCGACTTTGAGCCCTATTTTCAGCCAATTCCATTGTTCCAGTTGACCAAACTCATAGCTATTTCTTTAGAACTCCATTTTATCTATCAGCTGAGTACAAGAAACCTCCCATTTACTAATTTGGACTACCCAATATGGTGGTCAGAAATTGGCAATTTGGCCAATTTCACGCGAAATAAAAAAGATGCCAATTTCAAAATAGGGTCCAGAATAAACAAGGTAGACATTCATGGCACTAAAATAACATATGCTCTGTTCATTAGTCACATCTCTAGGCCCCTCTTATATTATTATTGCTTTCTATTTTGATTTTTTATTCATACAAAAAAATACAAAATTTACTGTTATGCAGACGACTGCATTATTGTAAAAATGGTATAAATAATATCAGTGCACTAGTGAAAGAATATTAGACTCCCCAGTTGACGTGTATTGGACGTGTGGTGTGATTTATTCACTCTTGAACATTGGTAAAAATCGAACATTTCTGCTACTTTGAGCTCAGTTTCAAGGTCGTTTTCATCGTAAAAGTAATGAAAATCATCTCTATTTCTGTAATATGTTTTCCATTTTATCACTTAAGACCATGAAAACGCGAATACAACGATAAATACTATACGAAAATACACCTCAAAGTCGGCGTTTTATTCCAAAAAAACGATCAGAGTTTTTTTTTTCTCATTACGCAATGTGTGCTGCAGGATTTTTTTTATGTGGTGCACACTGACCACACAGACCCATTCTCTCACATGTGGGCCTACCAGCTTTCTCCCACTTGATTTGAAGCCGCTAGAATTATTGAGTATATATACGTCAGAAACATTGGCTCGTAAGACGTATTTATACGTCGAAAACAGTCAAAGGGTTAAACCCATTTTATAAAAAAGGCCTTATAACCTGATTTATTGTCTACTTCCTGCAAAATAATCATAGGTTCAGTAACATGAATCAAATTACATGAAGTATAACAAGCAGTCTTATTAAGAGTGTATTATAATACATTACAGATACCTCTTCTAGTTCCATGTTGTGCTGTACATAATCTGAGTTCTTCTCCTCTAAAATGCGAACTTGACGTTTAAGGTCACTCAACTCTTCCAGCTTCTTCTTGTAAGTTTCCATTGTGCCTTCGTACACTACTGCTCGCTCACTCATCTCCCGCAGTGCATCAACCTAATCATTGTAAAAAAATTAAAATGCAGGAAAACACTTGAAGATAGCAACATGGTCCTGCCAGCACGGACATTTACCACATGTACCAGTCTTCTATAAAAGAAACAATAAAACACATAGGAATGAATATGGTGTTTTAGTGGCTATAATGAAATTTTTAACATAACCAAATACTTTTTCTTATTTGCATAATCCAGAACAAAAGCCACATCCAGTATCAGGTTCTTCCTTAAAGGCAATGGAATAAACACTGACAAAAATAAGGAAATAAGTGAAATATTGAAGGCACAATACAACTCTGTGTTTAGAGTAATTAATCAGACTACAGATTAATGACCCAAATAAGTTTTTGTTATGAATGAGATTTGAAACACAGCCAATGTCTCCACAATTACCAATATAACCCTGTCTCCACTCGACTTTAAAGAAGCCACTGAAAGTATATCCATGCATTCTGCCCGAGGTCCAGACTCATGAAACTCGATATTTACAAAAAAAATAAAGAGAAAAAACCATCTCATGCCTTTAACATTATATGGGGGAGCCTGAACACAGGTGTCATTCCACAATCATTATAAACTACAGATATTGCCCCACTCCACAATGTGGTAGCAAAGCCATTTTAAAACACTATAGACCAATAGCGCTAACGTCACACTTCAAAATCTAGGAATGCATTTTAACCTTGCAACTGTGTCCAATGTGTTGGCACATAAGTGATGACTGTGTTTCTGTAGAAACACTGGAAGACAAGCTAAATGCGATCTAAAATACAATGCCTTTGCAAAAGTCCTTAAAAAATGAGACCATGATGTAATAGCTCACAAAATGCTTGCAAAATGAAATGCTAAAAAGTGATCAGAAAATATCCAACTTCTTAACAGAGGGGACAAAGAGGAGGGGAGTAAGCTGGGTTGAACTGGAGGCTGCCACAGTTAAAAGTTTCATTTGTCAAGGCACAGTAATCACCCAAACTGTTTCTCAAACTTACATCTGATGTAGACAGACATAAATCATAGCACCATTGCATCTTTTGTTGGTGATACCAGAATGCACAAGAGAATGACATCTATCGAGGACACAGCCTAACTTCAAGCAGACATAAACAAAGGCTTTCAGGGAGCCACAATCTATAACAAGATGTTCAATGAGGACCAATCTCAGTTGCTCCATTATGGAAAAAATTGAGGAAAGGGAATGAAATGGAGTATAAGATGAACTCAAATCACACAACAGAGCAGAGGTTCCATGTGACAGACTTGGGAGTGACAAGGATCACAACAATGTTACTATTGCAACCATTAGAGAAATGATAGGCCAGATAACTGGAATATTCAAAATAAGTGATGCTGAGCCAGGTGATGATACTCTTCAAGTCACCTTTTCTCTCTAGGCTGGAATATTGCTGTATATCAGTGGCCCCTTTCATGGCAGGAGAGAGAGAGAGAAAAACTGAAAAATGTAAAGAGAACCTTCACTGCTCATACAAATTGTCAAGCATCTGAGCTACCCAGAATGTTTGAAATTCCTTCAACTGTACTCCTTGGAAGGTAAGTAAGAAAAGTGCAACTTACACACATAATACACAAATATAAGAATGAATCTTTTGACGATATTTTGGTCCAACTTGGACTCATTAATGGCCCAAGTAGGACCAAAACATCACCTTAAGTTTCATTTTCCTATGTGCAGGTCATTTGTGTACTGTGTCACAGCATTATGCCTTTTTATTCTCAGTACAACATAATTTACACCTGCAAAATTCTGCAAAAACTGGCCCCATACTTGCACACTGAAGTCACTTCATGTGAAAGTAAGAGAACTGGCAGACAGTGCAAAATACCTACAATGGGAAGCAAGGAAGTGACGGGAACACTAAGAGAAAGCTCAATAAGTATCAGGTGACACAGACCTTTCAACACTCTCCTGTTATGCACGCAAGAAACTGCCAACAAACCTCTTGCTATTTTCATGAGAGAAATTAATAAGTTCCTCAAATCAGTTCTTAATCAGCCAGACTGTGGTGCATATGTTAGACTGCATGTGGCTGGCAGAAACAGACAGGTTAAACAAGCCAATAACTGAGAGGCTTGCTCTGGGACCAGGCTGCAGGAACAATGATCCTTGAAATCAACAAAAGGTAAACTGACCCTTGCTCAAGTTTGTACAGTACATATGAACTGACCTAAATCAATCAATTTTAAGGAAATTTTATTTTCAATGGACTACTCTATACTTAACCTTTAAATTTTTAATATGCACTCTAAAGGAGGAGTTTTGGGATATTAACAGTTTGGAGGGATATGTTGTGTATCTTTATATGTGTATGCTTCTAAACTGTTATGTTCTGAGCACCTCTGCAAAAACAGTGATTATGTGTGAGTGAGATGAAAGTGTTGAATGATGATGAAATTATTTTCTTTTTGGGGATTTTCTTTCTTTTTTGGGTCACCCTGCCTCAGTGGGAGACGGCAGACTTGTCGAGAGAGAGAAAAAAAAAAAAAAAGTTGCAAATATGAGAATTAAACATAAGAGATATTACTGTAGCACTGGCTGGAGTGAACTGAAGCAAGACGCACCCATTTTGTTCCCACACATCAACTTTAAAAGCAAAGTTACTCATACTTCAGGGAAAGTATAATTATATAATACTTCAGTTCCTTCCAAGTTATAAAGACACATCCAAAACACTCTTTGCAGAGATACCATTTAAGTACATGTAGTTATATGCCATCTCCCCCATACTGGGTTGGGCGAGTTGAGACACCAGAGTGAGTGAGTGAGTGAGTGAGTGAGTGAGTGAGTGAGTGAGTGAGTGAGTGAGTGTACTCACCTAATTGTGGTTGCAGGGGTCGAGACTCGGCTCCTGGCCCCGCCTCTTCACTGATTGCTACTAGGTCCTCTCTCTCTCTGCTTCCTGAGCTTTATCATACCTCTTCTTAAAACTATGTATGGTTCCTGCCTCCACTACTTCACTTGCTAGGCTATTCCACTTCCTGATGACTATGACTGAAGAAATACTTCCTAACATCCCTGTGACTCGTCCGAGTCTTCAGCTTCCAGTTGTGACCCCTTGTTCCTGTGTCCCCTCTCTGGAACATCCTATCTCTGTCCACTTTGTCTATTCCCCGCAGTATCTTGTATGTCGCTATCATGTCTCCCCTGACCCTTCTGTCCTCCAGTGTCGTCAGTCCAATTTCCCCCAACCTTTCCTCGTACGACATTCCCCCGAGCTTTGGGACTAGCCTTGTTGCAAACCTTTGTACTTTCTCTAACTTCTTGACGTGCTTGACCAGGTGTGGGTTCCAGACTGGTGCTGCATACTCCAGTAGGGGCCTAACATACACAGTGTATAGTGTCTTGAATGATTCCTTATTAGGGTATTGGAACACTATTCTCAGGTTTGCCAGGCGCCCATATGCTGCAGCAGTTATTTGGTTGATGTGTGCCTCCGGTGACGTGCTCGGTGTTATGGTCACCCCGAGGTCTTTCTCCCTGAGTGAGGTCTGTAGTCTTTGTCCACCTAGCCTATACTCTGTCTGCGGTCTTCTTTGCCCCTCCCCAATCTTCATGACTTTGCATTTGGCAGGATTGAATTCGAGAAGCCAGTTTCTGGATCACATGTCCAGCCTGTCCAGGTCTCTTTGCAGTCCTGCCTCATCCTCATCCGATTTAATTCTTCTCATCAACTTCCCATCATCTGCGAATAGGGACACTTCAGAGTCTATTCCTTCCATCATGTCGTTCACATATGTCAAAAATAGCACTGGCCCTAGAACTGACCCCTGTGGGACCCCGCTCGTCACAGGCGCCCACTGTGATACCTCTTCATGTACCATGACTCGTTGCTGCCTCCCTGTCAGGTATTCCCTGATCCATTGCAGTGCCCTCCCTGTTACATGCGCCTGATCCTCCAGCTTCTGCACTAATCTCTTGTGGGGAACTGTGTCAAAGGCCTTCCTGCAGTCTAGGAAAACGCAATCAACCCACCCCTCTCTCTCGTGTCTTACTTCTGTTACCTTGTCATAAAACTCCAGGAGGTTTGTGATACAAGATTTGCCTTCCATGAACCCATGCTGGTTTTCATTTATAATCTTGTTCCGTTCCAGGTGTTCGACCACTCTCCTCCTGATAATCTTCTCCATGACTTTGCACACAATACATGTCAGAGACACAGGTCTGTAGTTTAGCACCTCATTTCTGTTTCCTTTCTTAAATATGGGGACTACATTTGCTGTCTTCCATTTCTCAGGTAGTTGCCCAGTTTCAAGGGATGTGTTGAAGATTGTGGTTAGAGGCATGCACAGCATCTCTGCTCCTTCTCTAAGGACCCATGGGGAGATGTTGTCCAGTCCCATCGCCTTTGAGGTATCAAGGTCACTTAGCAGCTTCTTCATCTCCTCGGTTGTTCGTATGTCATCCAACACTTGGTGGTATATTCCTTCTTGATGTTCCCTTCTGTGCTGACTTCCCACAGCCCTTCCTGTCTCTACTGTAAAAACTTCCTTACATCTCCTGTTTAGCTCCTCACATACCTCCTGGTCATTTCTTGTGAGTTCTCCCCCTTCTGTCCTTAATCTGATCACCTGGTTTTTGACTGTTGTCTTCCTCCTGATGTGGCTATACAACAGTTTCGGGTCAGTCTTGATTTTCGATGCTATGTCATTTTCATACTGTCGCTGGGCCTCCCTCCTTACCTGTGCATACTCGTTCCTGGCTCTGCGACTGATCTCCCTATTTTCGCGTGTTCTCTGCCTTCTATACTTTTTCCATTCTCTATTGCACTTTGTTTTTGCCTCCTTACACCGTCGGGTAAACCAGGGCTCGTTCTGGTCTTCCCGTTGTTTCTGTTGCCCATGGGAATAACCTTCCCCACTGCCTCCTTGCATTTTGTTGTTACATATTCCATCATTTCATTTACTGGCTTTCCTGCCAGTTCTCTGTCCCACGGGACCTCCTGCAGGAAGTTCCTCAACCCTATATAGTCCCCTCTTTTATAGTCAGGCTTTTCCCATTCAACTCCTGTTACTCTCTCCACTTGCAGCTCTACTATATATTCAAAGCACAGAACCACGTGGTCGCTAGCTCCTAGGGGACTCTCATACGTGATGTCCTCAATGTCTGAACTGCCCAGGGTGAACACAAGGTCCATTCTTGCTGGTTCATCCTCCCCTCTCACTCTGGTAGTGTCCTTAACATGTTGGTGCATGAGGTTTTCCAGCACCACGTCCATCATCTTGGCTCTCCATGTTTCGGGACCCCCATGTGGCTCCAGGTTTTCCCAGTCAATCTCCCTGTGGTTGAAATCCCCCATAACCAGCAACTTTGCTCTGCTGGAGTGAGCTCTTCTTGCCACCTCAGCAAGTGTGTCCACCATTGCTCTGTTGTTCTTCATATTCCTCTCTTGGCCTCCTGCAGTTCTGTGGTGGATTATACATCACTGCAATGACCACCTTGTGTTCCCCAGACTGAAGTGTACCTACTATGTAGTCTCTTTCTCCCACCTCATCTATGCCTTCCATTTTCTCGAATTTCCATCTGTTTTTTACTAGCAGAGCAACCCCACCTCCCCCTCTGCCCCTTCTATCTTTCCTCATGATCTGGTATCCTGGTGGGAAGATTGCATCAGTATATTCTATATCAAGGTAGAATATAATAAAGGATGTTCCTGACCTCGTGTGTGAGAGTGTGAGTGTGTGTGTGTGTGTGTGTGTGTGTGTGTGTGTGTGTGTGTGTGTGTGTGTGTGTGTGTGTGTGTGTGTGTGTGTGTGTGTGTGTGTGTGTGTGTGTGTGTGTGTGTGTGTGTGTGTGTGTGTGTGTGTGTGTGTGAGTGTGTGTGTGTGTGTACGTACATGCTTGTTCTTCACTAACAACAATCAGTATTAAAGAGTTTGCAAATAATTTTCTGACATTGGTAAATGATAAGAGGCAAATTTCAACTTCAAAATAACAATTTTAAACATGAAACAACCTTCCAAAATAGTAAGTGTATTAAATATATTTTTTATAATATTACTGATGTGACATCTAAACTGTTGTACATCTGAGAGCCTCTACGAAGACAGTGATTATGTGAGAATGATGATGAATGTTCCTTTTTTGGGTCAGTAGGAGACGGCCGACGTGTTAAAAAAAAAAAATACTGATGTAGTGAACATTGTTCACAAAACATGCAACTTTTTCTTCCTTAGCCCAGACATCATCACAAATAAATCTGTTTTTCTAATTTATAATTTTCAGATTATATATATCTACACAGCAAAGAATAATATCAAGAGAGTATAGAATCAGTATATTCTATATCAAGGTAGAATATAATAAAGGATGGTCCTGACCTCATCTTTGAGAGAGCGAGCTTCATCTGCCAGTCGTTGCAGTTCTTCATTACGTGTCTGCAGTTCTTGGTTCTCTCGATCTAGCAAGTCTGCCTTCGTGCGGTACTCATCACGAGCTAAAGGTAAAACACAATATATGAGAGACTGGTTCCACATCTGTATAGTGAACTAACTTCTTACTAGCCAAAAGCAAGTTATAACAACAGCACAAAATAAACCCAACAAAAAGCAGGAGTCAATTGAGTGTGAAACTGAAACCTGTAATTGTTTTATATGATGGAAGGATTGCTGGTGTCTTTTTTTTCTGTCTCATAAACATACAAGGCTTCAGGTATGTCTTGCTACTTCTACTTACACTTAGGTCACACTACACATACATGTACAAGCACATATATACACACCCCTTTGGATTTTCTTCTATTTTCCTTCTAGTTCTTCTTCTTGTTTATTTCCTCTTATTTCCACAGGGAAGTGGAACAGAATTCTTCCTCCATAAACCATGAGTGTCGTAAGAGGTGACTAAAATGCCAGGAGCTAGTAACCCCTTTTCCTGTATATATTACTAAATTTAAAAGGAGAAGTTTCATTTTTCCTTTTGGGTCACCCTGCCTCAGTGGGATATGGCCACTTTGTTGAAAGAAAAAACAGCAGGAATACATTAAGTACAATAAAGATAACTCAATAGGAGTAAAGGATTGGAGACTTCAACACCCATAAGTTATTATTTTGGGAGAACAGTAGTGGTGGGTTTAGAGGCAAGGCTGTGGAGTCTGAGTCGTGGGGTCAGAATCAAAGCAATTCTTGGGTTACTGGAGTTGGAGTTGGTAAAATATAATTAAAGGAGTCAGAGGTGCCATAAATAAAGGAGTCAGAGTTGAAGGTTTTATATGCCAGCTCCACAGCCTTCTTTAGAGGTTATGACCATATTTTAATCACTTAACAGAGAACGTATGAGGTACAGTCATGACACTTCTTAGCCACAGACTATGTGACTATGTCTTTGCTTGGTAGAGTATATAACTACAGCTGAGTGTGTGAGACAATGAATGTTAAAGTGGGTTAATATGATGACACTGAGGAGTGAGTGTGAGTGCATCTAATTTTATAATTTCATAAGCAAGTTAAGTTTTTAACCAAAATATTATGCTTTTTAGTCTTATCAATAAACACAAATTTTTTCTCATGATATACACTTCTTAAGGAAGGGAATACAGACAATAGGAATTGGTAATACTGTTCATCTTAACAGAAAAATGCTCTTTTGTTTTCTGTGGGACTGTGGGTTTTACAGGCCCACACCCACCCTCTAACTCCCTCCCACCCTCTCTGGAAGCAAGTGATTTTATGTTTCGTTGAGCAGGTAAGAGGTGTTCTGGCTACTGTTAATGTGTTCTGAGGTGTTCTCAGAGGTTGCTGCTATGTGTCAACACACTGGGAATGCAGCTGAGAGAGTCTGGGAAGAAATAATAGTATTTTTGAGAGTAGCCGTATAGTACAAGGCACAGGAAATCCCAGGCTGCCATTTTATTGCAATTCCAAGGCAAGGCTTGAGATTTTGTCATTATTAATTGGTACTGTAATGAGTACCATTTGTGCCATGAGAAGCAAGATGGATCACCAACTTTATATGATGTATCAATCTTGTCAATATCGTACTGTTAATATTAAATAGTGTATTTTACTATACAGATGTCATCCTGAGACCATTATTGTTGTTGGGTTATGTTGTGCTTGGACACACCTATCTAAGGTGTTATATACCATGGTACATTAACAAGCATTCTTACAAGTGCTGCTTCATACCCAAGACTAACAGTTAAATCGTGTATGATCACAACAGCTAAATTATCCACTTATTATTATATGGCCTCATGCATATGCAACAATAATAATAATAACCCTGACATAAATAACACTGAATATAAAACAACCAGTAATATATAGTTAGTGGAGCTGTGGTGCTCAGAAGGGGTGGGTATGACCCCTAACATTGTAAGAGGTCTAAGAAACTACTGTGGGATGAAGAAACTTGATATGGATGTCTGTGTCAATGTAAACAGATCAAAAAACCTAACACACTGCCTCAGTGGGAGATGACTGGTGTTGTCTCCATAGCTGTTCTTCCCAGTGTTCATACTATTCTGTACTTAACTTTTCACTTTTAACTACAGTGGACCCCTGGTTATCAGCTGCTTCTGTTATCGGCCAACTCGATGATCAGCTGGTTTTCCAGCTTTTCCAGCGCCCGGTTATCGGCCGTTAATTCGGTAATCAGCCATTTGCTTGGCTGTGTCTCTCGGTGGCTGATGAAGCTTCTGCTCATATATCCAAACATTTTGCTTATTACCCATTGCAGTTTGTGTTATTTTTGCAGTGCAAATGTGAAATAAGTAACCATGGCTCCAAAGAAAGTTCCTGTGGTAAAGAAAGTGAGAAACACCATGGAATTTAAGTGTGAAGTGCAGCAGATATACAGAGAGTGTAGCAGGCATGCAGGAAGTGTAGCAGGCATGCAGAGAGTGTAGCAGTGCAAGAAGTGAACAAGATAGTGTAGCAGGCATGCAGGAGGTAGCAGGCATGCAGAGAGTGTAGCAAGCATGCAGAGTGTAGCAGGCATGCAGTGAGTGTAGCAGGTATGCAGGAAGTATAACAGGCTTGCAGGGAGTGTAGCAGGCATGCAGGAAGTGTAGGAAGCATGCAGAGAGTGTAGCAGACATGCAGGAAGTGTAGGAATAGGAAGCATGCAGGGAGTGAAGCAGACATGCAAGAAATGTAGCAGGCATGCAGGAGAGTGTAGCAGGCATGCAGGAAGTGTAGCAGGTCGAAGTGTCAGGCATGCAGAGAGTGTAGAAGGCATGCAGGAAGTGTAGCTCGCATGCAGAGAGTGTAGCAGGCATGCAGTGTGTGTAGCAGACATGTAGAGAGTGTAGCAGGCATGCAGGAAGTGTAGCAGGCATGCAGAGAGTGTAGCAGGCATGCAGGAAGTGTAGCAGGCATGCAGAAGTGTAGCAGGCATGCAGGAAGTGTAGCAGGCATGCAGGAAGTGTAGCAGGCATGCAGAGAGTGTAGCAGGCATGCAGAGAGTGTAGCAGGCATGCAGGAAGTGTAGCAGGCATGCAGAGAGTGTAGCAGGCATGCAGGAAGTGTAGCAGGCATGCAGAGAGTGTAGCAGGCATGCAGGAAGTGTAGCAGGCATGCAGAGAGTGTAGCAGGCATGCAGAGAGTGTAGCAGGCATGCAGGAAGTGTAGCAGGCATGCAGGAGTGTAGCAGGCATGCAGAGAGTGTAGAAGCATGCAGGAAGTGTAGCAGGCATGCAAGAAGTGTAGCAGGCATGCAGAAGTGTGAGATGCAGGAGTACATGCAGCAGGAAGTGTAGCAGGCATGCAGGAGTGTAGCAGGCATGCAGAGAGTGTAGCAGGCATGCAGGGAAGTGTAGCAGGCATGCAGGAGTGTACGAGCATGCAGGGGTGTAGCAGGCATGCAGGAAGTGTAGCAGGCATGCAGGAAGTGTAGCAGGCATGCAGAGAGTGTAGCAGGCATGCAGGAAGTGTAGCAGGCATGCAGAGAGTGTAGCAGGCATGCAGGAAGTGTAGCAGGCATGCAGAAGTGTAGCAGGCATGCAGAGTGTGTAGCAGGCATGCAGGAAGTGTAGCAGGCATGCAGAGAGTGTAGCAGGCATGCAGGAAGTGTACCAGGCATGCAGGGAGTGTAACAGGCATGCAGGGAGTGTAGCAGGCATGCAGGAACTGTAGGAAGCATGCAGGGAGTGTAACAGGCATGCAGGGAGTGTAGTAGGCATGCAGGAAGTGTAGCAAGCATGCAGGGAGTGTAACAGGCATGCAGGGAGTGTAGCAGGCATGCAGGAACTGTAGGAAGCATGCAGAGAGTGTAACAGGCATGCAGGGAGTGTAGCAGGCATGCAGGGAGTGTAGCAGGCATGCAGGAAGTGTAGCAGGCATGCAGGGAGTGTAGCAGGCATGCAGGGAGTGTAGCAGGCATGCAGGAAGTGTAGCAAGCATGCTGGGAGTGTAACAGGCACGCAGGGAGTGTAGCAGACATGGGAAATATTTTGATTTTTGGCCATTTCGGTTTCTGGCCAACCTTTTGGAATGGATTACGGCCGATAACCGAGGGTCCACTATACTTCCTAATACTGCACCAGCTTTCCTCAGGATTTCCTTGTTCTTGAATGCAATCTGCTGAAAGCAGAACCCATCAATGAGAAAATTCCTCTCAAAACTATCATAAGATTAACTCAGCTTGTGTTGAAAGCTTAAGCTGACTACCAGCTGAGAGTACAACTACTCTTAAGAAAAGTAACTAGTTTATTATTTATACTATAAATTACAATTCACCTTCCATTAAGTATTACCACTTATACTTCACTGTAGAAAATATTTGCTACATTGATCAAAGATAAACTAACCATTGCAACATTCCCAAGTGTGTACAATGCTCTGCCTCTCCTGGTTTGTTCTCTCTCCTACCTTACTTCTCACTTGCAATTTCCTCATCTTGTCCACACTACAATACTTACATGTCTCTAGCTTGTAAAGCTCATCTTGGAGACCATCAATCTGTTTCTTGAGATCTTTGTAACGGAGAGTTGAAGTTCCCAGGTCACCACCAGTCTCCCAAGCATCTAAACGATTTAACAGCTTTTCATTCTCCGAGGCCAATGCTGTCTTCTCTTCATTTATCACTGAGATCTATGAACAGATTATTTGTTAATATTCTTAGATATGTAATACAGTAAATAAACACATTAGTGAACAAAAACATTATAAGTAGAACAAAAAACATAATGCACTTATACAATATTTACTTTTTTTTTACTCACAACTAGACAGATCTTCAAACTCCTGTCCTCTAGTACTGTCTCTCCTTCTCCCCTCCTCTCTCTCTCTCACACACTAGTACTGTCTCTCCTTCTCCCCTCCTCTCCTCTCTCACACACTAGTACTGTCTCTCCTTCTCCCCTCCTCTCTCTCTCTCACACACTAGTACTGTCTCTCCTTCTCCCCTCCTCTCTCTCCTCACACACTAGTACTGTCTCTCCTTCTCCCCTCCTCTCTCTCTCTCACACACTAGTACTGTCTCTCCTTCTCCCCTCCTCTCTCTCTCTCACACACTAGTACTGTCTCTCCTTCTCCCCTCCTCTCTCTCTCTCACACACTAGTACTGTCTCTCCTTCTCCCCTCCTCTCTCTCTCTCTCACACACTAGTACTGTCTCTCCTTCTCCCCTCCTCTCACTCTCTCACACACTAGTACTGTCTCTCCTTCTCCCCGCCCCTCTCAACTACTTCCCCCCCCCCTCTCTCTCTCACACACAGCTGGAGACTAGACTCAGAAGAGTAATAACAAAACTGCAAGGAAAATAATAGGCCGGAAAACTAGAACCTTCAAAATAAGGGATTCCAAGTCCATGATGATAATCTTTAAGTCACTTGCTCTCTCTAGGCTGGAGTACTAATATACTGCTCAAAACACCTCTAATGAAGGTAGGTGAAACTGTAGACCAGAAGAATGAGTAGAGAATCTTAACTGACTACATAGATTCAGTCAAGCACCTAAATTACTGGGAACATTTGCAGTCCCTTGACCTATAACTATGTAGGCAAGAAACAGATGTTTTAATTTGCACCTGGAAAATTCTAAAATGCCTAGTCTCAAATCTTCACATACAAATCTTCTCCATGAAAGTAAGAGGCATGATAGGCATTGCTAAATACCCCATGAAAAACAGGGGTGCAATGAGTACAATAAGGAATAACTCAATAAGTGTGACAGACTAACATTTCTCAATGTCCTTCCTTCATAATTAACCCTTTGACTGTTTCGGTCATATATATACGTCTTACGAGCCACCATGTTTGACGTATATATACTCATAAATTCTAGCGGCTTCAAATCAAGAAGGAGAAAGCTGGTAGGCCCACATGTGAGAGAATGGGTCTGTGTGGTCAGTGTACACCATACAAAAAAAATCCTGGAGCACGCAGTGCATAATGAGAGAAAAAAAATCCGACCTTTTTTTTTTTTTAAAATGCCGCCTTTGTGGTCTATTTTTGTATAGTATTTATGGTTGTATTCTCGTTTTCTTGGTCTCATTTGATAGAATGGAAAATGTATTATAGAAATAGAGGTGATTTTGATTGGTTTTACTGTGAAAAGACTACAGGTAGATGTGCTTTCTGAATCAAGGGAAGACTTCTTGAGAAGTAGACAAACCAAAGACCACTTCAATGACTGAAAACAATATCCACTTTGAAAATAAAAATAAATCAACAAAGTTATAAGAATTGAAGAATGAAACATTTGTGCAACATTTGAGAATGTTTACTGAGGAAACATTTCACCCGTCAGTGGCTTCTTCAGTCCAGTACAGAGAATAACTGTTGAAAATGAGGAGTTTGAGGTAATCAGTGTGAACACATTGAGCTCAGGTTAAGGGATTTATTACCTCAAGCTCCTCCAATACCTGGAAAACTAACTGTAACCCAAATATACAAGAAGGGAAATAGACAGGAAGCTATAAACTAAAGTAAAAGAAAATAAATAGAGTTCCTACAAAGAAATGGATAAATCTGAGGTGGGTATAATGCATTCATATGTGACAAATTTTGTCTCTCAGATCTTCAAGAGTAATGGAAATAAAGCTGATACAAGATAGATACAGTGCATCTTCCCAGACACTGGGAAACTATCTGACAATCAGTGCCAGATTTACTTATAGGCTTGGCAGGCTGAAGCCTAGGCCCTCAAAATCTAGGCAGCCTCTGGCCAAGGTGTATAACAGTTTTGACACTGTCATAGGCCTTTCTTACACATGCTGTCATAATACACTGTAGTCTCTAAACAACTCTTCAGTAATGTTCCTTGCACTCCATTTCAGAATAATACAGTCTTAAGCCAATAATTTGACTCTAGCATTGATTGCTATATTAATTTTTGTCTTTCCAGGAAAGCAGTGAGATAGATACAGTTGACTGAGGTGCTCAGTCATTTGTGCTCTGATGTTAATGAGAAGGCTGATGCCAGGCTTCAAGCTAATAATCTATTGCAGAAAATGAAAGAACTGGAATTTGTGTTTGTGCTGCATTTTTGAACCCGTGTGCTGGGTCATTTTTGCAAGGTCAGCAAAACTATTCAGGAATCATAACTCTTATTGAAAGTTTGTGCATGTTTGTACAGTTTGCTTCAGGATTTTTTAAGCAAAATTAGAAAAGAATTTTATAAGCTTGAGCAACAAGCAGCAGCCACCTTGCTAAATGTTAAGTATAGAACTGTCACAAGGAGACAAATTGTAAGGAAAAGACAAGGAAATGATGGAAGTGCACCTGGTCTTGATGCCTTAAATGAACTCTTCAAGAAACAAGTTTAGGATAAAAATCCTTTATTTCTGTACTAGATGCACTATAAGCCAGTTTAAGAAGAGCTACTGTGTACAGTGATGTTGCACAAATATTTTCCTTTCTTGCTGATCTGACAGCATCTAAGCAAGAAATTCATCAAGGTGTTGAACTGTTGATGGCAGCATAATACCCAGATTATGTTGACCTGAAACTTACTGATGAACTTTTGCACTTTTACTTGTACATAAGACAAAGTTTGCTACGAAGAGCAGTCACGTCTCACCCACCTTTATAAAAATTACATACAAGAAAAATTAGATGGTTTCCCAAATTGGGAAAGCAACTGCAGGGGGTCTTAGCTTGTGGTCTCAGCTGTTGGGGGAGAGACAGGTTCTTTTAAAGCCTAAAAAAATAAAAAAAAAAAATAAAAAAATAAAATTAAGGGTGACAGTGTCTCAACAGAGGTTGTCTGCGCTGAACTTTGTGCATGAAAGTGACAAACTTAGACAAAAAAAATTTTTATCAACTTTTTGGGTAATTTTTCGAGGGGAAAGGGCAGAAAAAAAAAAACATTTTTAGTCTTAGTTATTTGATGAAAGGGATTTTTTGTATTTATTAATGTGCATTTAAAAGAAAATTACAGTGGTCCCCCGATAATTTTTTTGGGCTAAAAGTTGTAGGGTTTTTGGGGAAAACAAGCGATATTTCCCTTTAAAAAAGGGGTCGTAATCGTTTTGAACTCGCGAATAGTGGGGTTTGCCCCGGGCGCGTACCAACGTGTAGCCGGGGCGGCCCCTTCCCCGCCAGTGTGGCATTGTTTTTCCAGTGAGCGAGGTCCCCTCATTTCTCCTAGAAATATTTTATAATATTCCATTCATTTTGTGCTTGCAAGTACTATATAAGCTACATGGCTCCAAAGAAAGCTCCTAGTGCCAAGCCTTTGGTAAAGAAGGTGAGAAAAAGATTGAAATTTAAGAAAAACATCATTGAACAATATGAAAGTGGCCTTAAGTGCGACCGAACTGCCAGAATGTATAACAAACCCCATACAAACCATATGTTCCATCCGTGGCCCAAGAAAAAGGTAAACAAAGGAATGCTGTTGTTGCAAAGGTGTAAATATGCTGAACAAAAATGAGATCACCAGTACTCAAAGGGGTTGAGAAGTTTATTATTGGTGTGGATAAACGAGAACAATTAGCAGGAGATAGTATTATGACTCTGAATATTTTAGTGAAAATGCTAGGCAGTTGCACGGCAATCTTGGTTGGGGGGGGGGGGGGAGGGGGGGGAAACTGGGGAGGCCTGGGGGCGAATTGGTTGATGTGAGTGAGAATTTAAGGCACACAAAGGTTGGGTTTGATAGATTTAAGAACGTAGTGCATACACAGTGTGGTTAAGGCATGGGTGAGGCTGCCATTCGGTACCACAAACCGGCTGAAAAAAAATATGTGCATCGAATCAAGGAGTACATAGAGCTGAAAGACTGAAACCTGAAAACAGTGTTCAAATTGTGACGAAACAGGCCTCTTATGAAGAAAATGCCAAAAGAGACCTACATTTAACACAGGAGGAAAAGGTACTGCCGGACACAAGCCTATGAAGACAAGCTGATGCGTCCTGTTCTGTGCTAATGCTAGTGGGATTTCAAAGTGAAGCCATTACTAGGTACAATACTGGAAAATCCCCGAGTTTTCAGGATAACTATGTTATGAAGAGTAAATTGTGTGTGTTTTTGGAAATCTAATAGTAGGTCCATGGTCACGAGGGAAATTTTCGTCGAGTTGGTTCAATGAAGTGTTTGTCCCTAGTGAGAAGAATTACCGTCCTGGAAAAGAAAATTGATCTCAAAGTGCCTCCTAGTAATGGACAATGCACCTCTCATCCTCCAACTTGGATGACCTAATTTTCGAAGTTTGGGTTCATCACAGTAAAAGTTCTTGCCCTATCTCCGAATACCACTCCTCTCCTCCAGCCCATGGACCATCAGCAGTCATTGCAAACTTTAAAAAACTCTACACCAAAGCAATGGTTTTCACAGTGGCTTGCTGTTGACCACAGACACTCACTTGACCCTAAGAGATTTTTTTGTAGAGAACACTTCAGCATCCTCCACTGCATATCCCTTATAGTACGGCTTGGAGGCAGTGACTACCAGGGCTTTGAACTCTGCTTGGAGAAAATTGTGGCCAGATTGTTTCGACAGAGGGATTTTGAAGGTTTTTTTGGGCTGACCCTGAGACCTAATGTCTGTTGTTAAATTTATTGTGGCACTAGGAGTTCCATGGGGTGGATGTGAGTTTGGAGGATGTGAAGAGTTGGTGGAAACACAATGAGACTCACCACTAGGATC